CTATGAGTTTTGTATTTGATATGGGATAAAAAAAGCTCAAATATAAAACTTAGAGAAAATTTATTTAAGAACCAAAATTGAAGATTTTTTTTTTTTATCTCAATAATCAAATTAAAAACTCAGTATTCGTATAATAATTATATGAATAATCTACTAAACAAATATGTTAAGTACCCAATTTATAGGTGCTATTACAATCAATATATGAATTCTACTAAATAGAAAAATAAGTTAATTAATTGGAATAACTAATAATAGAGAATGATTAAATCGGAAATAGTAAACTTATAATAGAGAATAACTAAACAAGATCTTAACTATAGATACTAGTTCCTACATAAGCCAAATACCTAAATAATATATCAACATTAAAATTACATAAATATATAGATATGCTTTGAAAATCGGCACTAAAAGGGTGCCAACCCATGTATAAAGAAAAATTTCTTTCAAATATGTCCACTTTTGGATCTTCCTGTTTTGCATCAACATTATACCCTATTCAGTTAGCTACCAGCCTTTGACCATGAAGGACAAGATATAGTAATACCTCATATGGTTTTAAGCCCTAGCACATAGTTTCATGACAGAGCACCTTGAAGTTCACATAATTCTCATAAAAAATAATTCCTGCACTTTTTTTATGGCTGGCTAGCTTTTATGAATGGAAAATTAAAATAGTAGACGACCTAATCTGCAAATTTTTCTATCTTAATTAAAACAAATTGCACCAGTGACTTATTTAGCTATATGACGGCATCATCACATCACACAAGTCTTAAACCACAAGGAGCTTACATGTGACATACACAAAAACTTTCTACCATATCCCCAAAAGAAGTTAATTACTTAGTAAGAAACCTGGCTGAACTGCTTCGCTGCCAGCAATGTACGAGCATGGCAAAAGCTTGCTTCTACCTTCAGCTCCATATCTACACCAGTAACAGGTGATGCCAAACCTTCAAGCTCATCACATATTTGCTGAGCTAGCTTCAGATGTCCCCTAATGAGTATAATAAAATACATAAAAGAAGAGGAAACTGAATTTTAAAAGAAGTCACAAGAAAATATAAACAAGTACCACAACTTTGAATTCGTAGTCTCACCGATGCAAAGCACGCTCATGGAATAGCTGTAACTTGAGTAGCATTATTCTAGACTTAGAAACAGACAAAAACTTCTCCTCAGCTATTTTAAGTGCGGCAAAGGCATCTACATGTGAATGTAAAAAAACTAATTAAAATAAAATAAAAGGAAAATCAAATGAAACATAAAGAAAGCAAGGAAGAATGCATGATTTATTTTGTGAAACTTGTAAAGATACTTTTAGTAAGATATGAAATCAACCAGAACAAGCTTTCCAAAAAATTATGTATTCACATCATGCAGTAGAATTATGTAGCATATCGTACACAGTACTCAACCTTGATATGGTTTCTTCACTCAAAATCAGTTAGAGGTTACAAAGTTCAATGTGAAAGACGATCATAGAATTTGCTATTGGTTAACACAAACTCAGAAAGGGAGGAAACTAACGGTAAAGATGGAGATGCATGAATAGCAGGAAAGCTGTTAGACTATCTAACCTTTATATCCTTTATATGCAGCTAAATGTTGGATAAGCTTCACATATGCTAATGCTGCATCAGATAAACTAGAGACAGCCAAAAGATCAAGTCGATGTTAACTTAGGTTTAAATATAAAGAATTAGATTCTTAAGCAAAATGGAAAAATATAGTAATAAATAAAGAATAAAATGTAACAAACAAACTTTTGGAATTTGCAGGCAACAGCTGACATCTACCTGGAAGCATCAGCGAAGCAAGTTGCATAAACCAGTGCATTCAGACGAGCAAGAGGAGCACTGATGAAAAGAAGACAAGAAAACAGAAGAGCATTTCAACTGATAAGACACAGCATGTTAGATATGTTAAGTATTGCAGTTACAAATAGGAGCAGCATCATTAGGCTTCTAAGCCTGCAAAATTAGGCGGTAAAGTCAGTTGACCATAATGATTTAGTCTTGTAAAGGGCCACAAAATAGGGACCTGTAGTTACTCCGAGTTTTGCAACAAATATCCAGAATTGGCTGAACCAGGTCATGTTCAACTTCATTATGTACACTAATGCTGCATCAAAGGCTGTTCCTGACACTGCTGATACAAACAAATCAAGTTCCACCTAGCTTAATCAATCTTATCAAGTTTAATAGGAAGTAATATAAATGACTCCCTTCAGACAAACATTCAAGACCACGTTCCCTCCCCAAGTTTTGTCTTTTCCTTGGGAGGCCACCAAGGAATGTTGTCTAACAATTGATAATTTGAGAAAAAGGGGAAAGGTATTGGTCAATGCTTGTTATCTACGTAAGAGAGCCGTCAAAGGGGAATTTCTTGCTTGGGAGGGTCTTTAACTCACACCACAGGGTTATTCCTTTAATAATTCTCTGGATTATTTGGAAAGAAAGAAATCGCAGAGCTTTTGAATGGAAAGAATTAGATTTTGTCTCTATTACGGATAAATGACTTCACTATTTTGGTTCCATTGTACTGGATTACAATCTTGATAGTATAAATGATCTTGTTTCTATTGTAGATATTCTCATTGATTTGTAAATCTTTTGTACATGGGCGGCATCCCCATGCTGCTGACTAATCAATACATCTCACACTTTTATCTCAAAAAAAAAAATCTATGTAAGAGAGCGGAAGAAACTTGCAATCATATTTTACTTTGGTGTTCTGTGATCTCTAAGTTGTGGAATATAGTTTATGGTTGCTTGATATTAATTGGGTGATGACAGGTTCGGTGAGGAAGAGTTGTGGGCATGGAAGGGCATTACTAATCATAGGAAACAAGTGAAGATTATTCGACTTATTATTTTTTGGATGGTGTGGAAGAAAAGAATAAAAAGTCTTTGATAGGGTTGAAGATATTGATGGTTTTGAAATTTTTAAAAATAAATGGTTTGGACCCTCAATTTTTTTGTTAAGAGGTCATCTTCTATATTAATATAGGTTTTATACTTTTTATTTAAAAAAAAAAAAAAATATATACACATATATGACTATTTCTGAACATTCTATATTCCACTTTTATTGTTCTTATCCCCAAAAAGGAAGGGGCAACTACTTCAAAGATTTCTGTTCTATTAGCTTAATCAGCAGTCTTTATAAGCTGATTTACAAAGTTCTATCTAGAAGACTATCTCAAGTACTTCATTTGATTATTGCGAAGAGTCAAATGCCTTTGTAAAAGGTAAACAAATT